TGGATCGAACTCAGCATCAATCTACCGCATCAGGACGGACCATCGCGGGCAAGAGTGTCCGGCTGATCCTTTACGGGGAGGAGTGTGGAGGAGAAGGAGGAGGAGGAGGAGGAGGAGGAGGGTGGAGGAGAGGAGGAGGAGGGTGGAGGAGGAGGAGGAGGAGGGTGGAGGAGGAGGGTGGAGGAGGAGGAGGAGGAGGGTGGAGGAGGAGGAGGAGGAGGACAACGCAGCGCGTCGGGTTCTCCATCGCGGGCGGGAGTGCCCGGCTGATCCCTTGCCGCCACGGGAACAACTTTGCCGAGCGGCACCGACAGTGCGCCGGAGCGGGCAGCGCCGCCGGGCCCATGCGCCCTCCCGACGAGCGGGCGCCCCTGACGAGCGTAAGCCTCGGCGATCTCACAGGCTGCTTGTGATGCGTTCAGCGCTCTCCTCGGACATCTCGGGCCCGAGCATCTCTCGCGCTCGAGCGCAGTGCGAGAGATGCGCGGGGTCGCGAGGGCGATGGCTTGATTGATAGGAGGAGGTCGTGAACATGGAGGCAGCAGGCACTTTGGAGCGCATTTGGTTCTTCGCTTGTAGACCAGTGGGAAGTACCCGAGCTCTCCCACTGGCGTCTTTCTGGCGCGTCAGTCGCTGTCGTACCGTAGGGGCACCCATCGGCGCCGCGGCGCCCGCGGCGCGCCCGCGCCCGCGCTCGGGCCGGAGGGCCTTGCGCCTAGAGGAGCCAGCTCCGCGGGATAAGGGCCAGTCCGACATTGACGAGGGCGACGAATGAAGCAAATTCTTGACGCTTCGCGTGTCCCCACCAGCTGCCCTCTTTGGCACCTGTGCACTCCGGCGTTGGCTTTCGGCCCGCTGGCAATTATCTGGCGTGCTGCCCCATGCTCGATACGACCCGCTCTCTGGAATCGTCCTTGGAGCCGCAGATCAAAAAGAATATCCCCACCAGCCCTCTGTGCGCTAGGTGCGTCACTACGAATGTGGAGCATTTTGCTCAGTGCACGTGCATCGCACGCCTTGCGTGGTTTGCTTGTACCGCCGTCCCGGACACGCCTGTTGCCGCCTGACCGTTGTCGAGCGGCCGCCGACCAAAAACAAATATTCCCACCAGCTTCGACATCGACGGCTTTGTTTGCAAATTCGCCTCGTACCGTGTCCCGGACGCCGCGTTCGCTCCGTGACCGTCGCCTCGGAGCCGCCGACCCAAAAAAGTATCCCCACCAGCCCACCCAGAAACGATCAGCAGGACAGTTGGTAAATCAGGGGCGGCAGGACGCACGCAGTCGCGCAGCCGTCTTCGGGAAAACAAGGATCGCGCATAGTTTCCCGCATTGAAGTTTAAAATGAAATTCGGTGCAAGCTACGATGGTGCTTCGATGAGGGGAGAGGGGTGTTTCGATGATTCGTAATGGTGGTTGCACTGATTTGTATGTTAAATTCGCGTGCGTTTCGAAACTTGGAGCCATCTTGGGGCTCTCTTGAGGTTCTCTTGGGGTTCTCTTGAGGCCCTCTTGGGGCCTTCCTGGAGCGCTTTCTTGGGGCTCTCTTGAGGTCCTCTAAGGGCCTCCTTGGAGCCCTCTTCGGGCTCTTCTGGGGCGTCATAGGGCCTTCTGGTTTTTTTTTTGGGGGGGGCCTTGGCGCTCTCTTGGGGCTCTTGGGAGTGGTCTGGGAGGCCTCTCGGGGCAGTCTTCGGCCGCACCGATCAAAAACATAGGGGGGGTCTAGTTCGCATCGCCCCATCGCAGGCTCCAGATGCCCCCTTGGGGCCCTTCTGGCCCGCCATTGGAGCGCTCTTGGGGCCGTCATGGGGTCTTCTTGGGCCCCTCTTGGAGCCATTTCGGGCCGTCTTGGCGCCATCTTGAGGCCTCAAGAGCCCATGGAAGGCGAAAGCGCGAGAAGGCAACACACATGGATTATCATGAGGTATTTGAAGGATTTTGGCCTCTTGATGGGGTCCTTGGAGGCCTCGGAGGGCACTTGAAACCGTCTTGGGGGCGTCTTGAGGCCTCTTAGACGTGGGTCGGAGGCGATCTTGACCCATCTACCGCAATACTGGACCATCTTGGAGGCCATCTTGCGCTGTCTGAAGCCCTCTTGGAGCCACCTTGGACCCAAAGGGACCCTCTGCCACATCGCGGCGGAGCTCGTCCAGACGCAGGGACGGGGGCGGAGGTAAACCTCGTGAGCAGGGAAAGAAAGGAGGTTGGAAAAGGAAACGCTCTAGACCACCTGCGCCCAGAGGGCTGGTGGGACTATGCGCCCTCGCGATGCGTGCGCGGCCGCGTCAAAATTCCGGTTCTGTGCGATTCTAAGTTCGTAGCGCCAGGGCGCGGTGGCGCGAGCGGGGCACTGACTATCCATGTCGCTGAAGAGTAGGGGGCGCCCTCCATCGCGGATCGGCGCCCCGTCGAATGGGGCGGGCAGAGGTCCCGTCGCGCGAGGCCGGCCTCCGCCCAAACGCGCCCGATGCAGGGCCGGCTGTCGCGGCGCGGCTGGGGGCCGGCGCGGCGGGGCACAACGCGCGTTTCCGTGGGTCAGCAGCGCGCCATCGCTGCGAAGTGCAAATTCGTTCGTCCAGAGCCAGTGCCCGCGCGCGTATGCCCCGCGCTAATTCGCAATTCGCGGGCCGCCGCCACCTCCAGTCCATGGCGCGCCCGGGTGCTGGCATGTAACTCTTTGGCCCGCGCCTCCGCGGGAGGCCCGCCGCGCCCCTGGCGGCCCCCATCGCGGGGTTGCGCCCGCGCCGGACTCCTATGGCTTCGAGTTTTTGCGCACCTTGTGATTGCGATGTCGCGAGTGAGTTCGTGGTTGGGTGGCAAAGTCTGGCGCATTTCCGCCGGGCCAGCCGCGGGCGCCCGCCGCGACGGCCGCCAGCTCCGACGCCTCTGCGCCCATGCGGGGTGTGATCGTGCGGGGCCGCCCGTGCGGGGGCTGGTCTGTTCGCGGCATTGCCGGCCGAACGGCGCGGGCCTCGCGCCCCTTGTCGCGCGGCTTGGCCGGGGAGATTTGGCCCAGTAGATATCGCGCAGCGTTGCCGCGCCTTCTGAGCCTTCCAGGTTCGGCGCGGCGCCCGCGCCGCGCGGTCTGGGCATGGGGGCCTTGCAACGTCGGAGGATCCGATACCGATCGGGGCGCGACAGCAGTTGGAGCCGGCGCGATCGACCGCGGCCTCGGGAGACGAAGTCGGATACTTGCGTCGAGAGCTCCGCGGGGCGCCGCGCCTGCCAGCGACAGTTCGCAGCGCCGCAGTAATTGGGCGCGCGCGAGGTGCGCTGGCAAGGCGGAGTGGATTATCCTTTCGGACAACGAGTCCGCGCGAGTGGCCAAGGGTCCACCGAGGAGGGTTGCCCGCGCGGAGGTGTCGCCCAGCGCCGCCGCTGGCGCCCGCTTGCCACCTTCTCCCTGGCCACCCCGCCGCCCCCCGCCACGACCCCGCCCCCCTTCCCTTCTGCCAGCCTCCTTTCGCAGCTGCCCCGCCCCCCGCCGCAGATTGCGGCCGCGCTGCTGCTGGGCCGGTCTTCATTGGCAGCGGCCGTGGCCCAGCAGGCGGGCAGCAGTGACGCGCGGTCGAAGCGTTGCGCACGGGTCGCCCGGTCGGGCCCCCGCCCACCTCGCGGCTCGGCGGGGCATCGAAGCATGATGTGATGCATTGTGTGGGCGGGCCAGGGCGCGGCCGCCCTCCCCGATGGAGCGCGAAGGGGGAGGGGGGCGAAGCGGGGGGCTAGAGAGCAAGTCGTGAAATATGTTGTCTGTGTGTTGTTTGTGTTGTATGTGCATGTGTGTGCATGTGCAGACCCAAAAAAGTGTAGTTGTGGGTTCCTGTTCAGTCGCCACCCAGCTACTTCTTATGACCAGGTGAATTGTTCTGTCGGCCCACAGGGAAGTGCCGTGTGAACGCGCAGCTGAACTAATCGACGCGAGAACCTTCGCAGGGGGGTATCGATGTGCCACGGATTTGGAAATTCATTGAGTTGCGTGCCCTCCTTATAAGATGCATAAACATAATGTCAGCATAAGTGGGGCGACCTGTAAACCTGGGCCCCTCAGTTGCCCTCCTGCTTTCTTCGCGCCGCCGCTTTTGCGCGTCCTGCGCCGACATTAGTTATCTTCTATCCTCCCTCCCGCGTTTTTTGGTTCTCCTGTTCCGTTTCGTCTTTTCTGTCGTCGACGTCGTTTTCCCCCTCATATTTCGTCCTTACTGTCCTCTTCGGCGTCGTCGTCGTTTTGGTCTACCTCGCCGATCCCCTCCTGTTCGTCTTCCTCGTGGTCCCCCCCTCCCCCCCCCTCATGTCTGTTCGTTCGGTGCCGCGTTTTTCCTCGCCCTTGTCGCTCCCCTCGCCTTCCACAGTTGCGCAACATGAGTACAAGTTGCCCTTCTTCCCCTGATTCCGTGTGTGATGCATCCCGCGCCCGCCGCGTACGTTTTTGCAGCAGGATTTCATAATACAGGTTGTATTTCCCATGTTTTAACCCACGGACTGTTTACGGTGTTTCAAAATACGGCGTTCCCGTTGCAGCCTCAGGTTCGATTTCTGGATCGGCACATGGTTCCTTTTTATATGAATGGCGTTCTCGCCCTGGCGCGTGTCAGTTTTGTCCGATCCGAGTATCTTTTCATCCTTGTCGTCCCCCTTGCTTTCTCTCCACCTTCCCCTGGTCCTCCTGCCTTTCCCGTTACTTTTGCTCCACTTCTTGCTGCGGCTGTTCGTCTTCGTTCGCCTCCTTTCTCATCACCCTCCTTGTCATTTTGTTCATCTTCCTTCTCGTCCGCCAAATTCTTTTCAAGCGCACGCAGTTCCCAATTTCCGATTGCTCATAACACGATGGGGTCCTTTTTGGAAATGCAGGTCCGTTTGTACACGCGTTCGCGGATAGAGAAAATATCACCACTACAGGAAGGGATGGGCGGAAGGGGTAGGATGTCAGACATGGCGCGAGCGTACTTAGTTTGTTCACCCTCCTTTTCATCCGCCCCCGTCCCCCCCGCCTCTCCTCCCGAGCTGACACGGCGCTCCGATCAGCGGAGGACCCGCTTAACCCCGCGAACAACGTCGGGCGCAACTGCTTCCGCATCCGGCAGGCCATCGCCGCCGCCGCTGGCCAGTCGCCGTCGCTGCCTGTTGCCGTCGCCGCTTGGCGCCGGCATGGGCGCCGGCATTGCAGCCCCTCCCGTCGACCGCCGCTCGTGGCCACCGAGATGGTGGGGAGGTAGGGTATTGTAGTGGCCTCCGGCCAGTGCCGCCGATCCGGGGCGCTCCGGATGATGATGTGATGATGATGCTGATAATGATGCTGATGATGCTGATGATGATGTTGATGGTGATGGTGATGATGATGATGATGATGATGATGGTGCTGATGATGATGATGATTTTGATGATGATGATGATGATGATGGTGATGATGATGATGGTGATGATGATGATGATGATGGTGATGATGATGATGATGATGATGATGATGATTAGGATGATGTGATGATGATGATGATGATGATGATGATGGGTGATGTGACATTTGTGTGGTGATGGAGATGGTGATGATCCCGCCCCCCCCCCTCCCCCCCCTCCTCTCTCCTGTGCCCCCCTCTCTCCTCCTCCCCCCCCTCTCCTGTTCCCCCCCCCCCCCCCTCTCTCCTGTGTCCCCCCCCCTTCTCTCCTGTCATCCCTCCCCACCCACCACCTCTCTCCGCCCCCCCTCTCTCTCCTGTCCCCCAAAACCCCTCTCGCCTGTCCCCCCCCCTTCTCATGTCCCCCCCCCCACTCTGTCCCCCCCCCCTTCTTTGCAGAGGCGCCCATCTGCAAAGCGGACTCCTCCCGCCTTTCCCTGCAGTTGCCCGCTCCCGCCTGAGAGGGGCCCCCCCCCTTGCAGGGTTCCCCCCCTTGAAGAGCGGCCCCCCCCCCCCCTCTCCGCACTCACCCTTGGAAGAGCAAAACTCGGAAGGGGGGGGGGGGGTGGGGGGCGAAATCGAGGGGGGGGGCTGGCAGGGGGGGGGGGAGGTGCCGAGCACTGAATTCGACAGTTAATGAGGTCCCCCCCCCTCCGTCCCTCCCAAGCAGAGCTAAAGCTCATGCTGAAGCAGAGCTTCAGCTTAGACTTCTCAAAAACTCACACGCCGGATCGGCGGATTTCAGTCAACGCGGGGCGCGCTACGGAGACACGGGTACAACTCAGAGAGGAAAAGGTACCCCTACCCCTACCCTTTGCCCGTGTTCGCCTTTTTCGGCGTCTTGGGAGGCCCTCGTTGCCACCACTGGATTTGCTTCGAAATGCTGGTCAGGACGCAGCCCAGGAGAGGTTCGGGGAGCAGCGGTGTGCGTACGTTGTGGTGTCCCCAGCTGCGGGGACATGGGGTATGACGCTGGACGCCAAGGTGGGCTGTGTCTGGCCTGAGCCAGCTTATCCGCCACCGTGCCCATGGCCACGGGGTGGGCGTGTCCTCAATGGTCCTTGGCCTGCTCCTCGGAACCTCCGCCCTCGCGCCCGAGGGGTCTCTCGGGGGCCGGGGCCCCAGATTCTCAAGGCTTCCAGGGCTTCGCGCGTGCCCCCGTGGGCTCTGGGGAAGCGTTGTCGCATCACTGATTCGTGCCCCACGGGGGGCCCCAAAGCGGGCCCGGGGGGCCGCAGTGGCGCCGTCAAGACGGCCGCGGCGGAGGGCCTCGAGTCGCCGAAAGATCGCCCCGAAACGTCCAAGATGGCCTCATCACGGACCAAACGGCCCCCAAGGCGCCACAAGAGCGTTCCAAGAGGCGCCTCAAGAGGGTCTTAGTAGGCAGCAAACATTGATTTTCTTCCTGGTGTTCCCCAAGGTTTTTGGTTTTCTCGTTTTGTCAACTTTCCGACGCTCCAAGACGGCCCCAAAGGCTCCGAAGGTCGCCCCCCGGCGACCCAAGAGGTCCCCGGGAGGCCCCGAAGACGGCCCAAGAGGGCCCCCAAGGGGCGCCCAAGACTGCCCAAGAGGGCCCCAGGATGGCCACAAGAGGGTCCCAAGAGGGGGGCACGCACCGAAAATCCCAGCCTCCCGCCCCAAGTGGCGCCCAGGAGGCCCCAAGAGGCGCCCAAGAAGCCCCAAGAGGCCCCCACAAGGCCCCAAGATGCTCCAAGAGGCCCAGAGGCCCCCAGAGGCCGCAAAACAGTCCCCCAGGGGCTTCGAAGCTGCCTCCAGGAGGCACCCGAGAGGCCTCAACGAGATCCGAGCGATCATCCAAGAGGCCTCAGACCCAACCTAATCAGGCATGGTGGTGGGATGGGCCGAAGGCGATTGGATAAGAGGGTTACACGCGCCCTAAGTGGTTCAATGGGGTAAATTATGCCCGTAGGTGGGCGGAGCACACCTGGCCTAGACCGTACACAGCCCCCGTAGAAGCAGCATGGTGGAGTTTGTAACCCCGTAGGCTTAAGTCGGGCGTGTCCCTCTACAGGAGGAGAAGTCAAACATTGTTTAAACAACAGAAGTCTGGGGACGATGTTTCCATTATTGTTGACTAGGTTTGAGCACTGGTTTGCTGGTTTTTCGATTTTAGGCCGCCTGTAGGGGGACATGCCCAACCTAAGCGTAGGCCTGGTTAGGCCAAGACCCACCCACCACCTGCTTATTGTCCCCCATCCCCTTAGCACCCCCTGCGGAACTCCAAGTAAGGGGGGGAAGGGTCGGTGGCTTTTGGGAGGGGAAGGGGGCCATCTTAGAAGAGCGGAAAGTAATGAGAACGAGATGTTCCAAGGTGTCCACGTTTCGTTTGTGCCCCGCGCGGCAAGAGAAGCAGCAGGGCCAGGGGCCGCTGGAAACTCCAGAGCACCTAGAACGTACCCTGAGCCTATCGCAGCGTGACGCTATCCTCGTGCTACCTGCCACCGCCGCGCGCAGACGGCGGGGACGCCCCCGCCACTGTTTCTCGGCCCGGGCTCGGCGGGCGCCTAGATCGCCGGCTCCGTCTTCCAGCGCCAGCGTGCCCGATGGTGAGAACTCTGGGGGGCTGCAGCCCCGGAAGCAGAAGAGCACGGGACGAGGCGGAGGGTGCAGGGTGCATGGCCGAGCCGGCCTCGCCGCAACGCGGCCCGCGGGGAGAGAGACCGCTCGCTCGCCCGATGGCGACACCAGCTGGGGCCCCTCCACACGTGGGCCCCCCTCCAGGGAGCAGGGGCGGGGAGCGGGGGAGGAGGAGGATCCGGAGGCGGGGGTGGCGGATCAGCTCGTGGCCAGCCCGGCCCCGCTTGGCGAGCGCAGCCGACGCCCAGGAGGTGTGGCGTCGTCCTCGTTCTTCTTCGGCACTCTTTTGCGCCCACTTCCAGCGGCGACGTCCGCCCGGGGGGGTGGGGCTGGCAGCACCGTGTCATAGGATTTAACGCCATCCGCCCGAGCCCGAGCCTGAGGAGGGGGAGAAGGAGGAGGAGGAGGAGGAGGAGGAGGCGGAGGAGGAGGAGGAGGAGGAGGCGGAGGAGGAGGAGGAGGGGGCGGGGGGGGGGAGAAGGAGGAGGAGGAGGAGGCGGAGGAGGAGGGACGCCGAGACATCCAATTCCCACCGACCTGGACGAAGGGGCCGAACATGCTGGCCAGCAACAACTGTCTGACTTGCTGACAAGACTTGTCTGCAGGTCCATCGGGAATGCGGACTCCATGCTGTCGTCCGTACCATCTGTCGGCTAGGTTGGGCTTTTTGCTGAGGAGCTGATATAGGATTTCGTGGCCATGAATGGAGCGCCTTGATGAGCTGCTCGATTACCTCCCTATTGCTAGGCGACTCCATACCTTTACCGCGTCCAATTCGATCTTTGACTCAGTAGGATTCCACTGACTTGATGGCGTCGGCATTGAACTTGTCCGTCCCCGCGTGCGCGCCGAGGGACTCCTTGATGTGAGCCTCGGGTTCCTCCACGTTGCTGGCGATGCCTCCATCGACTGACTCGAAGACGCTATTGTTGAAGGCTTCGCCTGGGTCCAAGAGTTCGTCGGACGACACATTGCTCTCGATTTTGGCGCCGGGATTACAGCTATTCTCGCACGTATGGCTGTCGACTTGGATGAATTTGTCGGCATATGCGACGGTGGCCTCCTCAAGCGGGTAGGTAGCCCTGGACGTCCCTGGCGATGGCGTGCATCGGCTTGATACCTAAGACGTCAGCCCGAATGTCCATGAGGATGGTCTTGAGGTCTTCGATGCGGTCCTCCAACTGGGACAGATACTGGCCTGAGGAGCCCTCATATAGCGTGACTTCCACGTGCATGTCGCTCTCCTCAGTTTCACTGGGCTTGGTGAATTCCTGGCGCGGCGGCTGCCTCGATATATTGTCCATCGCTGCCGAGACCTGGCCCATGAATTGTGACGAACGCACGGTGTTGATGTGGCGATTCCAAGCGTATGTGATGTCTAGTTGCATCAGCTGCTTCTTGAGCTCATCGTCCGACTTGTGCTTGAACAGCGCCCTGGCCGCAGAGCTGAGGCCCTGGCAGGTATGTCCGGAGCGCTCGCTGACGAGACGAAGGACACCGCTGCGCAGAGTGGCGATACGAGACTCTGCCATCGCTGGAGGCGAACGGGAACGAATCGGGTGACCTATTCCTAGGCCTGTCGAGCCAGGGCGGCGCGCGGTTGCGGGCAGCCCCTTGAGCCAGAACGGCTACGGAGGAGGAGGGGGAGGAGGAGGAGGGGGAGAAGGAGGGGGAGGAGAAGGAGGAGGAGGAGGAGGTGGAGGAGGAGTGGTACTGGTACAATTGACATGCGGACGGAGAAAGACCAGGGGCGAAGGCCGACAGCAGCTCCTGCTCATTTTTGAGCCTGATGCGCTGTCGATGTTGCCGCGGACGCTGTCTATTCGATACGAGGCAGACGCAGGAGGTCTGCAACGCTGCACGCGTCTGTCTTCGGGTCAGCTGCCCGGCCCCTCCCTGGATGCGTGGCCGCCGCCGAGACGCCGCGAGAACTGGCGCATGTGCGGCCGATTCGCCCTCCCCCACTTGCCGTCCCCCACTTGTCTCCGCCCGGGAAGAAGAGGGGCATGAAGAGGAG